TCACTGTGTGGTACGGAGCCTGTACTGCCTCCTGCAGAAGGACCCTGCAACGCATAGTGAAAACAGCCAGCAAGATCATCGGTGCCCCTCTGCCTTCCCTTATAGACATTTTTAACACCCACCTCACCCGCAGAGCCATGAGCATTGCTGATGACACCTCCCACCCCGCACACTCCCACTTCAGACTCCTGCCTTCAGGGAGAAGGTATCGGAGTCTTCAGGCCCACTCCACCAGACTTACAAACAGCTTCATCCACTGGGCTGTGAGGTCAAAGGTCAAAGTGATTATTTGTCATATGCACAGTGAGGAAACGTGTTTCCCTGTACAGTGAAATTCCTTCTTTGCTGTCCACATTAATGCCATAAAATACAAGTGAAATATAAAGTAGATGAGCAATAACACAAATCTAAGGCACTTTAAAGCAGCAGGTGAAGGAAGCAAATAAAAATACAACAGGAACACAATATAATGCAGAGAGTGTGCAATTATACACAGTGAGGATGCTAAACACTGTTCACTACCTCCCCCCCTCTGCCCCTGGACCGTAACCCACCACAGGACATAAAAAGATATAAAAAGACTACCCCTGCTGTTTGCACAAACTCAATATGTTCCCCCTTTTTGTTATATTACAGGTAAATCTGCTGCTGACTGTTTTGGGAACAAACAAAAAAAAAAAACTACCTCTGCTGTTTTACCTTCTGTTATATGTAAATCTGCTGCTGACTGTTTTGTTGCCGGGATATCTGCTGCTGTTGGTTATTTGCAATACTGTCCATGTATACCTCATATGCTATTTGCACCTCATCACCAACTGCTGATGCTAAACCATCTGACAATCTGTCACTGACTGTACTTGGTTTTGAGTCACAGCTTATTGGCTGTACCGTTTACATTTATCCTATTTACGTTAATCCAGTTTGTATTCTATACTATTCTATTTTTATTCTATTTTAGTTCCTAAATGTTATGGCACCCAGTACTAGGTGAGAGAAACAGTATTTTGATTTTCTGTCCTGCACATATAGTGAGTTGACAATAAAAACCTTGAACCTTGAACCTAAACAAACAAGGATGCAAACTGTCACCCTACCTTCGCTGGCACTGCCTCACCCAGGTCGCTATCACTGACGGTCTAAAGCAGGATGTCACTGAGCAGGAGCAAGTCGAGCAAGCGCTCAAAGTAAATGAGAAAAATAACATCAAACAGTATGTAATGAGGTGGCAACTGAATAAGAGCTTCCAGTTTGTGAGTTTGTTCCAGCAATACCTTTATTATACTCCGCAAGAAAGGAAATTCTCTTGTCATGTCTGGGCAGGGTTTGGAGGTTAAGAGTCTCATTCCCAGGACACTTAAGACATGAAACCCAGGACCTTGTAGGTCTGGGATGCCCTGATTCCCTCTTCGGGCCATCCTCTCAGCCCAGGCGACCTTTCATACAAGCTTTGGGGCTAACAAAGAGCCACACACACACACACACACACACACACATATATGCACACAGTATTTGTAAAATAAATTTGAATTTCATGTCAACAAGCATACTTAGTCTTGTCTGAGCCTTGGCACTTGCCTGAGACTTGGAGATTTGCATGTTGCTGCTTTACATATTTAACAAGTATACACTTATTCTTGTAGGAGATAAAGGTGTGACTAATGCCGGCTTCTGCTTTCTGTCTACTTGCTTTCTTCTCACCACACTAACCTCCTCTGCCTCAGGATCTCCAGGAAAACATGACCTCTATGATGTTGGTGGGTACTGCAATCAACCCTGTGTAATAGACTCTTACTACCTTTCTGAGATGAGTGATACCTGTTCAATATCCCTAGAGTGTCATAATTTCACCTTTTTTGCCTTTGTACACAGCCTAGTTATCCGGAAAGCCATTTTAAAATGTAGTGCACAGTAGGTTTCCATATGAACATGAGAAATACAGTATTATTGTGACTAGAGAGAGGGGAATTTGTTTTTTAATGTGAATCTGTATTTCCAATTACTGATCAGGTGTCCCGTAAGGAACCATGAACGATTTAGTGTTTCTCATGAAGCTGGATATGATTGCATAGCTGCATGTTATTGCATGACAAACAACAGTATCAATGCAAGGCAGTCATTTTTTACAAGCAGGACAATCTCCTAAAAGTCGGTTTCACCTTTGAGCAGTTGGTCCATGCCAAGGACACACACTTTCTTTTGATTTTCCCAGATGGCTTCACTTCACTCAACCAGAGAATCAGCGTTGTTCTTTGTTTTCGTTTCCTCTGGCAGGGTGTTCAGAGAAGCTGGAGGAGTGCATCCTGTCAGACCAGTCCCCTCTGTCCTCTGGAGTGGACTCTGGACAGCAGTCCCCTGTCTCACCAGAGAACAGGAAGGGTCACAGAGGCATTAAGAAACTCTGGGGAAAGTACGTTTTGGAAAATATATAGTACATATGCACACATACAGTATGGCACTTAGACATAAACAAAATGTTGTGTTTTCATACACACATTTTCCATCCTGTATCTTTCTCATTCTCTGTTCTTCATCTTCACAGTATTTGTCCCTCCTTCCATTTTTCCTTCATACACTCAGTAGAATTACATCTGTTGTCCCCAGGATCCGTCGCAGCCAGTCAGGTAGTGCTGTCCAGTTTCATGAGCCAGACCTGGGACAATTCAAGAGGGGAGGCTACAGAGCCACAGCTGGACCACGACTGGCTGATTCATGGAACACACAGTACACATGCACACTTAGACACACAATTAACATATGTTGTCTTAATAACATTAAATGTAAAAGCCAATGAAGATACTGTGGTTGTTTGCAGGAGTCTCATTTAGTTTCTTTTCTTCCCACCATATCAGAGACCTGAAGATGCCTTTTTCCAAGTGGAGCACAGAGCAGGTGTGTGACTGGCTTGAGGACATTGGACTCGGTCAGTACAACATCCTTGCTCAGCACTGGGTCAGCAGCGGTCAGACTCTGCTGTCAGCCACCTCACAAGACTTAGAGAAGGTACACACATATCAGCGTGCTATGTAGAGCACATTTCATAAAATGATGCATCTGAGACATCTCTCTGGCTCAGCTGCTTTACCTGACTGAATAATCTTCCACACTGCCTGTTTCAGTTCTACCTGTCTGATCAATGTTGTTGTGTGTCAGTCTGTTTGGCATTTAGTAATGCCTGCCCCTGCTTTTCAACTTCCTCTTTAGTTTCACCTTCAGCACGGTCACACTGCCCCCCAAGCTATTATCAGGTTCATTATAATTAGATAATTAACTCTAATGTATTTTTCTTCTTCAGGCAAACCTATAATGCTGTCTGACAGTTTACTCTGAGTATCTCAGGTGAAATCAGCCATTTCTCTGCCTCTGTAGGAGATGGCAATGAAGAATCCACTACACAGGAAGAAACTCCTGTTAGCCGTCAAGGCGATCAGCAGCAAGCAGCCTGAGAAGTCTGCAGAGCTTGATTATGTCTGGGTCAATCGTATGTACTGGACAGACAAAAGACGCCAACAGTCGGTGACAAAATATTTTCCTGTACTCTGTCTTAATACAACCTGTAATATTTGGTGTTCCAGGCTGGCTTGATGACATCGGCCTTCCTCAGTACAAAGATCAGTTTAATGAAGGAAGAGTGGATGGACAGATGCTGCAGTACCTCACTGTGGTGAGTCTGAAACTAATCATGTGGAGGTTACACAGCTTAAACAGGTGAAATGTCAAATCAAGGTTCGTTCAACTCCAGAAGTTTAAAATGAAGGCTTTCTTTATTTCTTGAATGCAAAATTAGTAGCACTTGATATATCAGCGTCCTTGGATGTAATATTTTGTTGCTCACTATTCAGTTCTCTTGTTGAACTTGCATTCATGTCTCCATCTCAGAATGACTTATTATTCCTGAAAGTGACGAGCCAGCTCCATCACCTCAGCATCAAGTGTGCCATTCACGTTCTCCACGTCAACAAGTTCGACCCTAGCTGCCTCAAACGCAGGCCCAGCAATGAGGTGAGTAAGCTGCGTGTGCTGTATGTGTGTGTGTGTGTGTGACCACATTCAGAATCAGAATCAGCTTTACTGGCCAGGTGTGTCAGACACACGAGGAATTTGTCTCTGGTACAACGGCTCTCAATGTGCATGAACATACCCCTGTGCAAGGGGGAAGTAAACAGTAAACTAACGTAAGGCTGTGTAATATAACAGAATAAACAGTAACACTGCCACTGTTGAGTATGTTCAGCTCAAGGTTGTTGCGGCTACACCACAGGACTGACTATACCGGCTTCACAGCTTTAAGTTTCTGCCTGTAGGTTGGAATAAGATGGACCATACAGTGATCAGAGAGTCCAAGGGCTGCGCGGGGGACAGAGTGATAGGCGTCTGTTAGAAATTAATAAATCAGTCAGATAATTATTAGACTTTAACGTGTGTTAGTAATGCAGTTTAGTAAGATTCAAAGTCTGCTCCTGTGTGCTCTGCTTCAAGGTTAGAAGATAATGTTGACTCTGAGAAGGGTACCGTGACACCAGTTATTTTTGTATTAATCTTGTGTAAGAATTATATCTGAATGGATGTTTTAGTTACACATCATGCATACAACATACACACACATTGAGCTACCTCATTTTGTTATGACTAGGTAATATGCAGCTGCTCCAAGTATGTGGAGCTCTAGATAAGAGATGGAGTCTGTGGGACGGACTTCATCTGTGTAAGGGGTTAGCTCAAAACTGATAAATGTATTAGGCTCTGTGTTTCTGTGTGCTTTTTTCCCCTGCTCTCTTCTCCAGCAGCTTGTCTGAGGCAGGGAGCCCTGGGTTGTGTTCTATAATTCTTATTATATATATATATATTGTAAATAAACCAGTACTAAAATCAAGAAAGACGGACTCCTTCCTTACTCAGATCTGTCCAGCAAAAGAACTGGGGTATAACAGCGTCTTTTATTGTTGTGTAGCAGTGGTCCAGTGTGACTTTGTCCCTGGTGGGACAGGTGACTACCCGTATTTGGGCAGTTTGTGGGTGAGATTTGCTCTGTTAAAGTCCCCTAGAACAATGAGTGGAGAGTCGAGATGTTCTAGCTCCAGGCTAGTTATCTGTTCTGTCAGGAGCCATAGTGCGCTAGCGTTAGCCTGCGGTGTTATGTACACTCCCATTAGCATGAAACTGTTGAATTCACGGGGAGAGTAAAAGGGTTTGCAGTTGATAACAAGAGTCTCTAGGTCTGCGGTACATGTCCTCTGTAGCACTGTGACATCTGTGCACCAACCTTCATTCATTCTGTCAGGTTTGCCCGGCTGCACCTGCCTCTCTCACTTCCCTCACTCTGTTTTGGTTTCTTTACCCTGATTACACTATCTGGAACACCTGCTTCACCCCCCCAGATCATCACCAGCTGCACCTGATTGGTTTTCTCCCTGAGAGCATGTAAAGTCAGAGTTAGTCCTGTTGACGAGAAGAATTTCATCCATCTTGTTGATCAGGGAGCGGAGATTTGTTAGGTGGATAGATTGGAGTGGAGTCCGGGTCCCTGTCCGGCGTAGCTTGACTAAGGCCCGCTCACTTACCACGGTGGTGTTTCTTCTAGATCCATATGGCAACTGCCAGAATGTCCATACGGCATTCTTCGTTCACAAATAGTTCGGTGTGAGTTGTCCGAATTTGCATACAACAAATACAGTACCATCATGATTTTGTGTGATATGGTTAAACCTTCAGTTTTTAATTTGAAGCATTTGAGCTCCATGTTGTGGCCCATCTTGCTTTCTGCATGTTGAAGGTTCTTCCGGTTTAAAGGGTTTTCCTTGAACAAAGCCAGTGGTCCAACTTTACAATTGAAAATAAAAGACTGTGTGTATGAATGTGTGGCCTTCTCTCCTATGTTTTCATGACATGGTTTGTTGTGTGTGTCCATACATTCACCCATGTGTGTTTCAGAGCCAGTTCACTCCCAATGAGGTGGTCCAGTGGTCCAACCACCGAGTTATGGAGTGGCTGAGATCTGTGGACCTGGCGGAGTACGCACCAAACCTGAGGGGCAGTGGTGTGCACGGAGGGCTGATAGTGAGTACAGTTTTTGGGACCAAAAATGGAAATGCTAAAGAAAACGCCTTTCAACTCATTTTCCCCTCTCATAGATGCTGGAGCCCCGGTTTAACTCGGACACGCTGGCCATGCTCCTGAACATCCCTCCTCAGAAAACACTGCTGAGACGCCACCTAACCACCAATTTCAACAATCTGGTAGGAGCACAAGCTCAGCAGGAGAAGAGGGAGTACGTCGAGGCGACGGGCTACACACCTCTCAGCATCACAGCTAAAGTCAAGGTGAGAGAATAAAAACACAGTGTATGGCTGGAAATAGCAGAGGAAGTGCCCAGAGGCAGAACATAATGCTGCATTAAGAGAACACAGGCACACAGTTAACCTGTATGTAGAGGAGAAGGCACTTTATCAGCCCTTCAGTGTTTTGAAGCATGTGAGAGCAGAGTAAACCCAGAACTGCTCTGCTCCTGCTCACAACTTTAAGACTTGGCAGTCAGCCGCAGTCTCAGCTGTATAAAAAAATAATAATATTAATAATCCACCTAATATCTCACATTACCTATGGTACTCCATGACCAGTAAATAATTCTGTGGATGGTTTCATGTACAGATATAGCCTAATGTGCTACTTTTATTCTATTTTAGTTTCTTAAACAGTATGGGCATTCAACATTAGGTGAGAGAGAAACAGTATGAAGATTTTTTTGTATGTCCTGCACATGTAGTGAATTGATAACAATCTTTGATCTTAGATTGTGGATATAAAAATACACAAAAACAGATGTGGTTGCGTGTGTATTTGTCCCTGAGGACCAGCCAAGTGATATCCTATAGTGGTTTGTGGTCATATATCACTGGCTTCAGTCAGCAAGAGCAAGCTTAGAGGACACATTTAAAGAGGCTGGTGTGTGTTGTTGCCTGGTATGACTTATGACTCACATTCAGTGAAGGCAGGGGAAGTATGGACGTAAGAAGCCTGTTAATCTGCTTGATCTAATGTCCTGTAATGTGTATGCATCTTAAGTACATCATTCTGAACCTTCTCTTTCTTTCAACACAGTGCTGACCATCCATCATATGTTTCTTATATTCAAATATAAGCTATTTGTTCAAATCAGATCCCAGAACCATCAGCTTGCTCATATCTAAGCTGCCCCTTTACCTGTTCACTTGTGCTGTAGTATATTGCTGGGTTTTGGAGCGTATTTGCTGAGAACTCCCTGCTGTGTATGAAAATGACAGCAGGGATGCAAGAGAGAACCAAAACAATAAAGTTACAGGCTGTAAACCCAAAACAATGGCCTGAAAGACATTACAACACTCCAGAGCTCAGCGGAGCGGCAGAGGTGGATGATAATTATCTCTGGGTTCATTAGTACAAATGACTCCTTTCACATTACACATGGTCATTCGATGTTTCTATTAATGCTACAGTATTGATTAGTGCAGCTTTAATCTTTCTTTCTTCTCTTGTTGTAGTGCAGTCACAATGTTCTTACATTTAAATTCATGAACAAATACATTTAATTTTGCATTAAACACCACAGCTCACTTATCCCCCCTTCACAAGCATTTATTACTGTTAATGTCCTTATGTTCTTGTATGTGCTTGCTTTTGAATTTAGTTAGTAACATGACAAAATATGAATACCTTGACATACAGATGGTCAGATCTCGTGCACACATTGCTTCTTTATAGTTTTGCTATTACAGTGTGTCATTCAAATCCTTTGTCTTTCTCCTATGTCACTGCAGCTAAAGAAACTGGGCTTCTCTAACTTGACTTATCTCAGGAGAAGACGGCCAGATGAGTCCACAGACTACGTCTGTCCCGTCGAGTCATCCCCCCCTCAGTCGGAACAGTCTGCAGTGAACGGTGTGCAGATGCAGCCTTACGCCAGCTTCAGAGGCCTGAGCCCCATCTTGGACAGAGAGCCTGACCGCTCCAGGGACCAGGTGGGGCTTGACGACTGAAGAGCTGGCCCATCTCCATGACAACAGCTGTGACAACATGGGGATAATGTGACGATTGTGCTGTCACACTTTAAATCAGCTGTCACTGCTACTACTCTGCTTCCTTTGTTTGCGGCCCATAATATCTCAGGCCACCTCCTGCAAACCCCACCCATCAGTCTGACCCTGTGCCTTATTCTTGAAGAGATTCAGAGACCCAGATTAACTTGCTTGACTGTGTCACAGTCACAGCTGTTTGTGAAGGGCATCCTGAGACAATGACGCTTAACACACTTGAATTATTTCGATTTCGTTTCCAGTAAGATGCCTAACTAACCCAAGCTCAGCTTCAGACCTGTGCCATGATCTAATTCATCAGGAAAGAACACAGTCACTCTCTGGACTGTTCCTGTGACATCACTTCCTGTAATCCATACAGTATGTACAGTCAACTCTTGTTGTACAGTATGGTTCCAACATTTGTGCACCACCTTTAGGAGATTTTATATGTGAGTCAGTCACTGCATCATGAATATAGTTCTGTCACATGGTTGAGATGAACCTGTGCAATATTTGCATAAACCTATTATGGAGGGATTATATTTAATATTTATGTAATTGCAGAGGAAATCATACAAATAACATGTTTTATTTGAAAGTTGAGGTGGTGATTTTGTACTGTTATTTTCAGTCTCAGACTGTAAAAGTATTTTTATAGGAAAGAAAATTCTGCTCCAGTACAGGACTCTTACATGTGCTCATGTAAATGTCTAAAGAATTATCAAATCATTTAATAAACAAAATCATACATGTGTAAAGTTGATTCCTTTTGTCAGAGTGGAAGTAGTATATTTATTATACAGTATGTACTGCGTGTGTTACTTGTGAACTGTACTAGGCTACAGATTACTAGTTGTATTGGTAAAAATAATATAATGGGACTATTTTAATTATTTCAAAGTGATGTAACTTATTACTTTGATTATTTTTCTAAAAAAATGTTTTAAACTGGACAATAAAGTCCAAACATAAATTTAAACCAGCCAGTGTAAACCTCACAAAAGCAATGGACACTTATTACTGTCAAACTTTTTTTTTAAAGGTTCTTCGACATAACTTCAGTTACATAATGTATTATTGTTGAAACGTGTAGCTTCCTGAATGGGCACCAAGCAAAACCCTTTTCTGATTTGAACACCTCTAATTATAATGTAGTCCAGTATAACACCCGTTTTGTCTATGACCTCAATAATAAATATGCAATTAAATGTACACATTCATGACAATATCACTGAAAACTGAAACATTTTGAGCTTCATATACACAGATGTTAAGGTGGAAGGTGCCTAATAAAGTGGCCAGTGAGTGTATATTTATGGGAGGTACACTCTACATAGTGACAAAGATATAAGCTGTTCATTTGAGACAGCTGAGATTTGGATTTTGAAAGCTTTTTCATTAAATAACAAGGATGTTAAAAAAAAAAAAAGCTGTGTGCTACTATCCAGCGCTGCAGTGGACAGCATGCCTCAGTAACCTGCATCAACCACTAACCTGCTTTCATCCTCATCCTCATCCTCACTCTTGTATGTCATGGAAGCTTTTGACACAGTTTCCCGCTTGGCTGACAAGTCTGAGCCAAGATGGCTCATATTTATTGCTATATTCTAACGCTTAGGAAACTCATAATTGTTCCACCATATTGTCCTAATCGTGACTTGGGTTCATAAGGCCTTGTGCATGTCGTGTGTGTGTGTGTGTGTGTGTGTGTGTGTGTGTGTGTGTGTGTGCGTTGCAGATGGTGATCACTGAGAGTACCATGTTGCAAATAGAAGCTCTGTCTGAAAGCATCAACAACCTCACAGTAAGCACCAAAACACACAAGCTGCTGGTTAATAACTTTCACAGCTGATTCACTCATCAAGTAACTGGTCCTCATCAGCTGTAACAGACGTTTGAGTCACTCAGATGGAAAATTGGAAATTATCTGAGGGGAAACAACATTAGAACACCACTGCTCTGAGGGCAAATTAGAAAGTAACACTATGACCGCTAGTGTGAAACCTGCTATTTCATTACTTGCTGTTTTCTGGCAGATGGCAGCCTTGGTTCTTCTTCTTCTTCTGTTGTTTGCTGAAATCATCTTAGTAATTGTTCTCTGAGGCTTTGCATAACAATCATGTCAAACCACATCTTAACAGCAGCCTTTAGGCTTTAGGAGGCAACATCTCCAGTGGACCAGTTGAGCCCTGAGAGGGAAAAGACGATAATAAACGTCACACAAAAATATTACCCTTATTTTATTACTATATGAAGAGTCATTTCAAAATGAACTCTGTAAGATGAAGTCATTGATACAGTATGTTTGAGGTTTTTTTCCCTAGAAAAAAAGGTTAAGAGCAAATGTATCACAGTGTGAACTACATTAATTACGTTTGTATGATTTAATAATTAGATTCCCTGTTTCCAGCCTTTGTGCTGTGCTAAGCTATGCTAAGCTAAAGGGCCTCATGTTTTCTGTAGACATGAGAGTGGTCCCATCTACCTCTCATTAAATAACAAATTAGCATTTCCCAAAATGGGAAAGTTGTTTTATACTTTTGGTATACAGATACTTTAATGTAGCAATCAATCAATCAATCAATCAATCACTTAATTAACTGTAAATATTGAATAGCTCTCTGTCAACAAACTAAGTTGATGTGCGGATATGTGGATTTTCTCATCCTTTGACAGAGCCAGCTGTTTCCCACTGTTTCCAGTCCTACTGCTAAGCTAAGCTAACTGGCTGCAAAGTGGTCAAAATTAAAAGTACTCATTATACGCCCTACATGTTATGTATTAAATCTATGTAACTTCTTACTGCGGTGTTAAAAGTCACAGTGCTGTGAACTGTGTTTGCTGTTGCATACTTTGCAGTGAATCTTGTTTTGCACTGACTTGAGATCTGTTTTCATCATACATTGTGAAAAGTGCTATATGTTGAGTGCAGCATTTTTAAACATTAAGTATATTTTCAGATACCAAATGGGGCTTTTGTTGATACAACTGAAAGCATGTTCTAATGTTCTCAAAAGCAAGACCGCAATTCCCATAATTCCTTGACATAAGTCAGTTACTGCTTCTTCAGAGTTGACTCTTGAAAAATGTGCTTGGCTTGGAAAAGTTTTTCATATAATAAAGCAATCTTACACAAAATAAACTATACTGAAATAAATGTGATAACTGATCTCAGCTCAGTGGAAAAACCAACTCCCAAGCTTTGTAACACATTGCTGCTCCCACAATGCTTTGATTCCAGTACCTGCTCAGCCAGGAGGAGCTGCGGAAGGAGCTGAGGCGGTCTCAGATGGCGCTAGTTTGAAGGACAATGACCCGATGCTGTTGGCTCACTTATGCTGTAGCAGCCAATCTCACCTCTGAACTGAACCACAAGCCCTGGGCCTAACACTACAGTGTGGAGCTGATCACATCTTCTCCTACTGGCCACTGATGCCTCATGTTATGCTTACAGTCATTCTGCAGTCACACTGTACAATGGACCTAGAAACGTTAGTGAACAAAAGTCACAGTGTATTTTCTACAATGACAAACTAAACTGTTATTCATGAGCCATCTGTGGCATCCCCCTTTGCAGTGTACTGCCTCTAATGATCATATTGATCGCTGTGGTACTATGAAGGCTACTGACCACTTCATATTTTGTAGGCCTACTGTGCTAATGTTGAGAGAACAGGGTCTAGTGAGCCATCACTAGTTTTGTGGCAAATATGCACAGTATAATTCCTTTTTCTGGAAAGTTGTTATAAACGTTCATATTCAGATGAGGTAAGAGTCTGAGTTGGTGTTTAGTGCTATTAGCAAATCTTAGTATGCTTATGCACTAATATGCACTAACATATGATGCACATGGTAAATACTAAACCTGCTAGACATCAGCGTGTAAGCCTGTTAGCATGAGCATTTAGCTCTAAGCACCAAAGTGCCTACAGAGCAGCCTAAACCTAACACTAGCTCATATGGACCCCTCGTAAATTTGAGGCCTATGAGGACTGGAGATTGAATAGAATGCCTCTGAAACTTAGTTTTTGTGTTCGAGTGACTGCAGGTGCATGATTAGAGCTCCTTAGCTGAAAGTCCAGGGACAGTTTACAGATGAGTTTGAAAGAGAAGCAGGGGATAATGCATTTAAGATTGTCATCTGACAGCTACTGGTGCAAAACAATAGGAGAAGAAGGTTAATCAGTCAGGTATGCTGAGGTATAAAATGTGCAAATGAGAGGGGATTAAACAGCACAAGAAAATGGAAATAATAAAGAAATCCAAAAGATTCTGGATTCTTTTCCAGGTGGAGCCTGACCAATACATATTCAACATACTCTGTTTTAGGTTTATATTACTAACCACTTACAGAAGAAAAGGTAATCAACAACTAAAACAGATATTTTGATAAATGACAGCAGACTGGTACATTAGATTGTAACAGATTGTGATTTGTGGTTGACAGAATAAAAGCACACAGGGTCCAGTGAGTTGTACACAGGTCATGTTCGGGAATGAGGAAAGTAACCTCATGTAAACACATACAGTATAATACTGTACCTGCATTAGGGCAAGGCAGCTTTATTTATATAGTACATTTTATGCACAGAGGCAATTCAAAGTGCTTTACAAAGACAAAAAAAATCATCCAACTCTATAAATATAAACTCTCCTTTCATCATCTAACAGACAATAGAAAGCCACACTATAAGTTTTCAATCTGACCCTACATGTCCTAAGCACTTCCATCTGAAAAGAGACGGTTAAGCTTTCTGTTTACCCATCAAACCCTTCAGGCTTACCCCAGTGCTGAAGCTGCTGCTGCCAATTAACTGGTAAGATGAGTCTTTTGTTGACTTACCTAAAATTTGTCAAGTTACAGACACCACACCCAAACTAACACTGTTGGCAGGAACACCCCCTCGACACCTAGGATAGACAATCCTTTTTATTTTACTGAGGGTTCTGTACATGTCAGGACACTGAAGACTGACCTGCACATACACCACGATACACACATACGCACACTATATCTCAGCAGGGCAGAGGACAGGAGCGCAGTGCTGCTAGTACACTTGGAACTGCAGAAACCTCTAGACCAATTCTGGTGAGTATCTGTATTGATTTGAAATGCTTTTTATAGATATCAGAGCCCACATTATTACTACTGCATTAGTGCAGTGTACTGGTGGATAGATGATTGTTTTATGATTCCTAATGTGCAACAATAACAGTAATTCAGTAATTTATTCCCTGTTAAATGAAAGAAAAAGTGTGCCATATGGTAGGACAACACTGATACAGTCAGTGGTGTTTTTGAACCTCTATTAAAATACTAGACAACTTTAGCAACCACATGTTCATATTAGATCACAGTCTATTCCCTTCTAATTGTACAAATTCTATTTCCAGTGTATCAGGGAGACCACCCTCTGATCTCCTGCCAACCGTCAACAGTCAACCATGAGCCAACCTGTCGGCCAATCTGCTGCTACCCGCTTCCAGAGTCTCTTAACCGCTTTGAAACAGCAAAATGCCTCCAACCAACCCTCCTCCAAACCGAACACGCCAAAGATCGTCCGTCGACACTCCATCTTCTCCACGCTGAGGGGCCCCTCTGTTGCCAAGCCCAATGATTTCATCCCTCTATTCATCGACTGCATCTCTGCTGCCTCTTCCAGAACCCAGGAGTACCTCCTCTTCAAGGACCCGGAGGACAAGCTCCACCCGAGCTTTGAGCTGTTCACTCATGTGGGTACCTTTAATGGTATACACTAGTCATTAACAACTTGGTGGTATCAAACTGTTTCATACTTGCTTGTTGTCTTCCCACAGGTCTTCTTGATGACCTACATCTCCCAGAGTGTTAGCCTCAACCTGACGGACACCTTCAATTGCACAGCCATGACGCCAGGACAGCGCATCCTCCTCGGGGCTGACTGGGTCTGGGCCTTAATGGAGAAGCCCTCCAGGAACCCTCGGTTGCAGATTGCTGTGCAGGTCCTACACCTGCAGGAGAAGGAAGACACAGAGGAGAACACCGCCCTCCCAGACATCTGCAGTGAGACCATGCAGATGGCCCAACAGGAATCCAGCAACAAGAACATGTATGAGAAGCTAGTGGACTTTTGCACCTCCATTGGCAAGGACTGCTACGCTCTCTTCTTGTTCTTTGGAAAGAAAAATGACAAGGGAAACATCTACGGTGTCCTCAGCAACAACTTTGAGGTGGCCATCGGGAAGTGCAATAAGATCGACAGAGGATTTATTGAGAACTTCTTCAAGGGTTCGAGGTATCTCCACACACCTTCAGGAATGATGCAGGCTCTTGTCACCAAGAAAGAACAGGATCCTATCACACTCATGATTAAATTCAGCTGAACCTTTAGGGGCTCATAAAATTTGATTGCCAATAACATGATACAAGAACACAGTAACTATGTCCTGTCTTACTAAAATGTTGAGTTTGACAAAGTATCAGGCCTTTGAAAGAAAATTCAGGTTATTTTAGACCTATACAGGTTGTTAGATAGGTCTCAAAGCAGTTCAATCAGTTCCTCTATTTGCCTGTTTGAGATAGTTTTATTGTGTGCCAATGACAGTACAACACTGCAAAAATAAGAAAAACATTTTACCCAAAGTGAAAAGTACGCAGAATCATCAAAACCATGGGAAAAAATCTGCCCTCAACTATGTGGCAAAAAAATCTAATTCAGGCACTCAAGTGGATGGCGTGCACAAAACCAGTACACTGAAACTGGAGAAGTTAAATGGAATTCAGCCACCACCAATCTGATTATTTATTGTATAGCTGTGCTTTTGCTAGCGTGACATGTCAAAATGTCCACTGTGGAAAAATAATTTCTTCTCACAGTGGACATTATGATCAGTCGCACACTGGTGTAACTAATGGCTGTATTCCACTGACATTGTTTACTTTAACAGCTGTACTACTGTACCTTATGTTTTACTGGTATTACTGCTAAACCTAAACAGAACAGGACATTTAGTGTCATAATTACTAGTTACACCTGTACTTTTCCTGCTATGACAAGTTCAAAATATGAACAATCCCAAGTAGATGTGATTTCAAATAAAAGTTAAAAATGTCTACAGTGGCTCTACAAAAAGAAAAATAACTGTACGCACCATTATGCTATAAAATAAAAGGAGTAAATATTATAGGAATAAAAGTCTGAGTGCAGAACCAAATTTTAATAGGTAAATATCTCCTCTCCTAAGATTAATAATGACATTTGTATCTTTGTAACAAAAAAAGAGTGAAGTAGGTCGGCACCTCCAAATAACCTAGGGGAATGGGTGAGGTTTTTTCATATTACCACTAAGCAGCTTGAGAAAAATGATCTTGCATGAACATTTCTGAGGGGAATTAATTTTTTTCTTTAAATGTGCATCATAAATTTCAGTGGGTTAAAATGAAGGCTGAGTGAAAGGTTTCTGTAAAGAGTGAGTGTTTGGCATGTTGAATTTTAGGTGCAGTAGTAACACAGTCATCTTCTGTACCGTTCAGTCCCAAAGGGGTCGCGGGGGTAGTAGTAACGCAATGACATGGAAAATACATTCTCAAAAAGATATTATTAATACATTTAAATAATATTAGTAGAGATGGTTAGAAAGCATCTTTTGTCTTTTTAATTACTTCTGTACCATCAGGGTTGTCACTCTTTTCAAACAGATTTGTGTAAGTTTATTGGCAAAGGACAATGTAGGTAATGATATCCTCAAGAAGTGCCTACAGAAAATAGGATTCATCTTCACGAGTTAAGATTTGACATATATCTTCAAAAGGAGTCTTATTTTTGACTCAAATTCAATTCAAGAATACATCATAGTCACATGTACTATGTCCTGCCAGAAAGGCTGAATGTCCATTTCTATTGTATTGTGTTAAAAAGCTAGCCAACTAGCCAACAAACATTAAACAGTAAATTTGCAAGTGGTGAACCAACAAATCTTAATTATGTTTCCATGACTGGAAAACTGCTTTTAAAAATTCCAAGTTTCCCAGGACGCATGGGAACCCTGACTATAATATTGTCTGAATGTTACCATAGCATACTAGTAGAAAAACTATTAAAAACATTACATTATCATTGGTTTGTATGGTTTTACCTATTTATATTTGCATTTTTCCACTTGTAACAATGTCTGAGACTTTTTGAAAGAGAATTTAAAGGAAACTTGTTGATATCCTGACTCTCACTGTAGCGAGACCAAACGCTCACAGGTGGGCCGTAACATGCACAACACAGAGCACTCTGTCAAAATACTAATTCAGCAGAAAACTGTACAAATGATGTCAGAATGGAAGTCTTTTACTATTTTTAAATAAACTTTTGTGGGGACACTGAGTAAGAAAATGTTTTTTATCAATGACTGGGTGTGGAAGGCAAACTCAGCCTAACACTTATCTCATTATAATAACTGCTGGACTCATTAGCAATAAATTGTTCACAGGTATTCATGATCCTTAGCAAGTGAAATTATGCACAAATATTGACATTCCCCTTGGCCTCAGCTGTACTTTAGTTTAGTGGTGGCCAATGTTGGTATGTTAACATTAACAAAGTCAAGATAATGAAGGTGATAAACATTATACCGGATACATAACAGTATGTTCATGCTTTGTTTTCAATGTATAGCATGCTAACTTTAGCATTTAGCTAAGTACTGTCTCAGAGATGTTAGCAGAGGGGTGTAGTACACTGCTGCTTTGGAAATAAATCTGACTTAAAAGGTTTGTCTTAGCTTTGATGAATGATGGAATACAGAAAATTCTTGAAGTGACCTCAAGCTTTTGCTGTACCAGCTGTATGTACAAATGCACAATAGTTTATAAATGTTAAAAGATCTTGATTTGTTATTAACAATTATAAGAAAAACCTTCCTTAATTAAAAAGTGATGCCCATGATCAATAGTTTCCAGTAAAAAATAAGATTTAAGAAATGGATTTTAATGCTGTATACAAATACTCAATGCAAAGGTATGTTTACAAAACTAATCATAATTATTTTAAACTGTTAAATGAGATTTAAGACATTTATTTTGAGCTACAATATAAAGATATCTAATAAAGGCATGTTTAAAAATCAGAAATTATATCTTCATTTTCTCACATTGCTAACCAGAGCTTTACAAATGTACAAAAAACAAAAACTCCACACAGGAGGAAAAAAATGCATAATATTCTTGTCCTTCATCTTCATCTGGAAATGGCTGATGACTAGGTTTGTAAATCATTTCTGTAACCTCCTTTAGTGTGTAAAATAAAAGCAACAATTAGAATTGTAATGTTTAATTGTAAACTCAGTTGTGAGCATCAGGACATTACATCATCTTCACTATGCATCTATCAGGAATGATTCAGAGAAATAATGTCACTAATGTAAAGACTAACAACTGATTCCATCATAGTTCATCCTTCATGTTGTTTTCTTCTTGGCGGCCTTTATGCTCACACGTGCACGCAGCGGTGAGGTCTTCTGGCTGAGGCACCAGCTCCATGTCTGTGTGTCGTGTGGGTTGTCCTGTCTGTCGCTCTGAGTACATGTGCAGCACACTGTAGTAGTAACAGTATAGTCTGCTCGGCTGCAGCAGCTCTCTGGCCACAGCCTGACCTGCTCTGGCAATCTGTTGTGCTTCTGCGTCATTCTCTTTGGCCCATTTGATTTTCTCCAACAGGTCTGACAGGTTTCTCCTCACAGGAACATAGTGAACACCTGCCTTCAAGTGGCTGTAGAAATGTTCATAATACTGCGATTCCTGCTTCAGGACCAGACTGTTCCCGAGCATCAGGTAAGGAAAACGATATGCTGCCACTGTTCCATCCATGTTCACCTGATACTTGTACTAAAAGAGAGGAAAGAGTAAAACCTGGTTACTTCATAAAGCAACCCGCCTGCCTCAAGGTGAAATGCTGTAAACTGCAGTTTCAGGATGAAAAGTAATTGTTTAAACATTATTTCTACATTTTTCTCACCTTAAAGAACTCAAAGAATCCAACAAGTGGTGCTTTGCCTACATGTTTCTCCCTGTCTCTGAAGAAGAACCATCCTGTGATGCCTGCGTCCAGCAGCTCAGGGTTTTCCTTGGACAGGGAGACCAGCTGAAGACGTTCTTCTCTACTGTCCCGGCCGCGGAAGAATGCACGCTCTGTTTTGTTAGCCCACACAGGCCCTGGAAGACGGTTAGAAGATAATTACAAAAAAAAAGTCAGCAAGTCTGAGGACATGTGGTGCAAAGAGCTTTAAGTTATAAAACAGAACAGATATGTAAAGTAACACTGGTGTACTCAGCAGCCAATAGGTCATGTTAAGCCTGAGGTGAGGGTGGCTACGGCTCATGACTCATGACTCATCAGTTAATGTCAACAGTCAGTTTTTTTCCTCACACTAGTCTGATTATAAGACTGAGTGACCAGTTTTGTCACTCAGTTTGTGTCTAGATGACACAAACACAAAGGATGACGTGGAAAAATCAGAGATAGGTCCATCTGTAAATACCTTTGTATCTTTATACTAAGTAGCATATTCCCAGTCTAAACCAGTGTAAATCATCCTGAGTCACATGGAAGTATTTTGGCTTTGAAAAGACAGATGTTGTTCAAAAGATGACAATCTGCAAACTGTCAGAAATCGGTTGCCATTAAAGACAACTCGATAGCTTGTTTCACCATCTGAGAACTAACTGCAGCACGCAGTATGAAGAACATGACAGGTTTCAGCAGACAGCTGTCCACAACTGGACTAAACCAGCCAAGGTACCGGCACAAAAACACACTCAGCAAACATACAGCAAGCAGAATCGTTACGCAAAAATTATTTCAGTGTTTGTGTACTGTTGTTCTTGAATGCTTCAGTTTTAAGTAAATAAACAAGACCCGTTTAGTAAGCAACAATTAATATGATAGGATAAGGATAAGGATAATCACATTTATTGGCCAAGTATGTTACACACAAGGAATTTGTTTCTGGTACAGAACCGAGGCAGCCATCTGCGGCGCCAGAGCAGCGCTATTGAAAAGAGCAAGGTCATAGTTTACAACATAAGACTTGCAATGCAAAATACTGTCTGCTCATCATTATCAAGAAAATCTCACAAAATCTCCAGGTACCATTTTCTGTCAATACCGCACACTAGAGATGCACCAGTCGATCAGCTGAGATCAGACACGGCTGGTTTCAGTGTGTTCGGCCTGGACCAGTGACCGGCCGATCACTCAGAGATTTCCAATTCTGTGACAATCAGTTTTAGAGACATGACATATAGTGGCACAGACCAAAAGCATAGTGTGAGCAGCACATAACATCAAACGAGACCCCTGTCTATACTGCGTGCGTGTTCACTTGCACATCTGAAGCACCTGGTGTACAAAAAGCAAACAGAGGAGCCTAGAGAAACACCTGAGGTGCAGCATGTAGCATCTCGCGTGAACCTCAAGCGGGGCTCGCGCTCATGTCTATACAGGCTGTGTGTTCACTCACGCATTGGAAGGGCTTGATGTACAAACAGTCCACAGAGGAGCCTACAGAAACACCTTGGAGAAGGGGAAACTACACCCAAATCTCCGACAAATAGCACAGTGAGGGAATTACTGGCTATGAATGTGTATGTACAGAGTATCCAACCTGTGGTACAACACAACAACTATAAACTACACACACTTCAAACAGAACTATGTGCTCAGCAGTAACACACATTCTTCTGTTTACCTGTTGCACCTGTTTATATTTGAAGATGTACAAATGTTGCACCTCATTGTTAATTGGAGGTTTGAAAAAAAAAAGAGAAAGATAAAAATGTAAAACTTTAAAACAATGTTTTATTTTTGTTACAATTTAATTTTTCACTAAATAAAAGTGACAAAAAGTCTGTGTGTGCTGTCAATTACAGGTCTTAGAAAAAAAATCGGAAGGTCAGGCTTTGAAAAAAATCTGAAATCGTAATCAGTCAAGAAAATTGCAATCAGTGCATCTCTACCGCACACACCTAGTGACACAGTACCTGTATTTCCCTGGACAGACAGCAGGTCATTGGTGACTCCTCTCATGGTCTCCAGGGTGGAGTGTGTGACTTCGTAAGTGGGGAGAACAATGTCCTGTGTGTCTGTAGAGCCACACCACGACAAGATTGGAACAGCATCTGCCCGCCTTGTCTCTAATGGCCAGTCACCGACATTGATGTAGAACTCCACATCAGGAACCCTCACCTTCAATATTAAGATTCTACATGTAGTAAGTGGGCCACACTATGCACAAACAGTAGCATGAACCTTTACACCCCCCACCCCCCCCACCCCACACACACAAGCTCACCTTCCTTGTTAGAGAGAGCAGCATTTCATCAGAAAACATCTTGAAGTCGGTGTATTTCCCCAGAGTGTGGCGGTACAGCTGGTTGTTGATGATGGCATAGTGAATCAGACCTCCTCTGGCAGAGAATCTCTGAGGCACTTCCTGTCTGAGGCGCTCAAGGTCAACTGTGGGAATGGCTTTAAAATCTAAAATCTGAGGCTCTCCAGCAGGACACTGCATGATGCTCTGCCAGACAGAGCTGTTGGGCTCAGGACAGTCACAGTACTCATGATAGACTGGACCTGAGCAGTAAAAATAATTCTCACAGTTAGATGAGGACACTTTGCTTCTCACTACAGTCACAAGTCTTGTGGTATCTATCCTGCATTCTCAGTGAGAATGCTTTATGTTGGAAATAAAATATGTTTTGAGAAAGCTGCTGTTAAATTGTTGTACACATTTAAGGTTGACCACATACAGATATTTAGTTGTATATGAAACCAGTGATTTCTAACATTTCAGACAGTTTCTTGCACAGTTCAAAGCAGGTGATGTGCTTTATTGAAGAGAGAGGCTGAGATGTGATCTGAAGCACAATCGCAAACTGGCCCCGCCTTAAGACTGATGGTCAAATACCACAAGTCTTTTCATTTGCATAAGAATGACTGTAACAGGCCCAAAGAGGCTTCACCTGAGGTTTGTTCATATTTTCTTTTTTCAAAAGTCTTTTTGGGGGGAGCTGTTCTTGTATTGAGGGTCTGACAGAGGATGCTGTAAAGTTATTTTGAACTATATACCATGCCAAGAAAAATACATGTATGTGTACCCTTTGGAATTATGTGGCCATTAAATGATAATCTAAGTCAATATATCTGGAATCCAGACCAGACCAGAATAGAATCAAAATCAGAATCAGCTTTATTGGCCAGGTGTGTTGAACACGAGGAATCTGACTCTGGTACAGCGGCTTTCAATGTGTACTGTATGTACATATCCCCATGCAAGGCAACAGCAAGGGGCAAGTAAACAGTAAATCAACATAAGGCTGTGTGGTATAACAAAATAAACAGTATTAACAAGCAACAAACAATGCAAACAGTGCAAACAAGGCAAAGTAAACAGTATAAGGTCTGGATGAAATCTGGTCTGGTGCCACTGCCACCCTACACATAGTATGTGTGTTAAATTTCAAATGGTTTTGATAACTTTTGACAGAGACATCAATATTTTAAATTATGCCCCATGTTTTCAGCCAAAATCGAATCACTTGTACAGTTGGACCCCACCAATGTCTGTGACGGGTATACTGAAGATCCATCCAGATGTTTGTCCGTAATCCTGCTAACCAACATGTACGCACAACAAAAAACTTAACTTCCTCGGTGGAGGTAATAACTGGTCAAAGCGCCTTTGGCAGCATTAACCCCAAACACCTGCTTCCTGTAGCTGAGGCTCAGACCTGCACAATGGTCAGGAGGAATTCTGAACCATTCATCCTCACGGAGCTGCTTCAGGTCAGACATGTTCTCAGGATGTCTGGTGTGAGCAGCTGTCTGAGCTCATTCCACAGCATCTCTGTGGGGTTGAGGTCTGGGCTCTGACTGGGACACTGCAAAAGGAGGTCTTTCTTTGTTTGAACTCATTTCATAGAAGATCTACTTCCATGTTTAGGGTCATTGTCCTGCTGAGCTTCATCTAGTGGACAGACACCCTGACATTATCCTGGAGGATTCCTTGGTAAATTTGGGGATTCATTTTCCCTTCAATGATGCCATCTACAGTACTGAATCCAGGTCCAGAGGCAGCAAAGCAGCCCCATCATGACACTCCCTCTACTGTATGCCACTGTTTGGATGGTGTCGTTATGTTGGTATACAGTACTATTTTTACTCCATAGTGCTGCATGTTCTTTCTGAACAATGAAATCTTAGTTTCATTTGTACTGAGTATCCTGCGCTGCTCCTTTGGAGGCCTCTTAGCCAGGTGCCCACTTATGGAGTAGTCACAGTACTACTTACTGAAAATGTATCTGACCTCTTTGAGGTGACTTGTAATTCTTTCTAGGTTTATGGAAATCAACGGTTCTTGGTTGTAAGTCTTCTGAGGTCTTTTTGTAAGACAGGGTTCACATCAGCGAACTCAAAATATCGGAATGTTTTTTACAAGTCAAAGTAGCTCTAACACACACCTTTCATCTGGTTTCTCTGACTGGACTCCAGGTGTGCTACCCCCTGACTCCGGGTGTGCTACCCCCTGACTCCGGGTGTGCTACCCCCTGACTCCGGGTCGGCTGCCCCGTGTGCTACCCCCTGACTCCGGGTGTGCTACCCCCTGACTCCGGGTGTGCTGCCCCCTGACTCCAGGTGTGCTACCCCCTGACTCCAGGTGTGCTACCCCCTGACTCCATTGAGCTTTTATTGATGTCTATAGCCAAAGGCTTCACATACTTTATATCCTATATTTTGACAGTTTGAGTGGTGTATTCAACATGAATAAGAATGATACATTGATTAGTGTGTTATCATTTTAAAAAATACATTGGGCTTGTTCATTTTTGTGACTTAGATGAAGCTCTGACCAAATTTCTACATAAATGCAGGTTATTCCAAATGGTTTATTTACCTTTAACTTACCACTATAACAATAAAATGACCAGTTAATGCGCCTTGGTTTGTAATTTAATAATTACACAACACGAACCTTGGATAGTGTATGGTGACCTGGCAACAGGAGCATCTTGGTGGAGGACCTCCACCCTGAGACCCTTCGGGGCGGTGCTGTAGAGTCGGTACCTTAGCAGGAAGGAGGCGTCTCCTCTGTGGTGGAGGGACGTGGATACGGATGTGCTCCTTCTTGTCCAGTGAACTTATCTTCACTTTAAACGTGTCTTTACCTGATCGGCACATTGACACACATGACTTGCTGCATATAACGAAACGCAAAGTTTTTGAAGTTAATTTTCTGCAAAGTTAAAAAAAAAAGTATGATTTAAATGGGCAGTAAAACTGTTTTGTGGGCTAAACATGCACTGTAGCCTACACACTTACAGTATATGGTTATAGTATATTTTGACATTTGTCGATGGTGGCACGTAGAAAGTGCTGCTACATGTAGCTAGCTACGTCTGGTAACACCATTAAATGAACAGACCATAAACTAACACCTTAGCTAGCTACACTGCCCAGCAGCACCCGGGAACAAGCTGCATGTGTAGTCATTTACCTGGAGACAAAGTCAGGTTTTCTCCTTTTGAATCGACCGCCTGAATGAAGAAGTAGCGGACTGGTAAAACTGGGTTAGGGTTCAGCCCTGGACCCCAGATGAGACATCGCTCTGCGCTGATTCCTTCACATTCACAAACCGGGAACTTTATGATAATACATCCTGCTAAAATTATAAACCTACATAGTAAACTACTCTGAAAAGGCTTTACAAAGTCTGCGCTATCTTTACACACCATCTTCCTTCAAATGCCAAATGCTGCATGCCCAAATTTTCTAAGTATTGAGAGAAAAGTTTTGATAGAAATTCCTACGCCGACATGTTGGTGAAGAGAAACACGCCCATTATCCGATGATGCTTTCGAGGGGTGTCGGAAATCTAATTTGTGAACCCTGAACTCCCCACCGATGGCCTACAGTGAACAGTGGGGGACCAAACTATGATGGCCTTAGCTTTTGGCAGCGAAAAATAAAGCTCGGCAACACCATAACTGAAACAAGCAAACATTGGCATTGAAGAATGTATATCCAAAAAAAAAAAATTGGCATTAAAAAGTATTAATAGCACACTGGAAAAATTATTATCTTATATTTAGTTAATATAAGTCTTTTTCAATGACAACTTTTTTAAGTGACAATCTTCTGATTTTTTTTTTCTTCAGACATTCTTCTGATTTTTTTTGTCGGTGTCAGTGTTTTTCAATGCCAAAGGTTTTCCTTATAGTTTCACTTCTCTCTCACTCTTCTAGTATGGGGGGGAGGGCTTCAAGGGGCGAGACTGAGAGGAGTGTGCTTTGTCTGCCAAGCATGGCTTCCCCTGCATTCAGCTCAGGCTCTCACACTGCTTCCTACACTGTTTACTGGTGTCTTTACTCACAGAACTAAGCTATGTTAAAGCTCACTTTTAATTAACATTATGCTGGTGTGGCAGGGGTCTGCTGAAGCAAGTGCTCATGTTAGCTACAGGTAGGCTATAGCTAATATCATGTACATTTATAGTCCTGGTCTATTATTGTAGTGTATTGCTGTGATTTCTTAAGATTTTAAAAGATTCTAGATAAAGTAACTTTTAATCATTTAAAAACATGAGAGACTTAGCAATATGTAGCCTTCTCTTTTTAGATCATTTTAGATTTTATATTTGTGTTATCAATACCTTTTAGAATAATCAGAACATTTGGAAGAAATAAAATCAAAGAAAAACAAACTTTGGAACTAGAACACATTCATGATTTGACTTATGCTAAGCTATAATATATCAAAATCATTGCTCTTTGCATCTTTATTAGATTTTTTCCCATTGATTATTTCATTTTGGACTGAAAATACAGTTTAAATTGTCTGTTTTCTTTTTATAAACAGAGTTGTTAGGAATTTTCATAGTTACTTATTAATTTTGATGTCAGTTACATGCCCATTTTATAGTACAGGTTGTCACTGAAAATGTTAACTACCAAAGCAGTGTCATCAGCACCAGTAAAACAGCGTGCACTTGTTTGTCATTTTGGATAGTATTAGACCTTCAGCAGTGCTCCTACAGTGATTTATGGATTTGTGACAGAATGATTACAGTGAACAAAGCCATTAAAATACTAGTATGAAAAGATGTTTTCTGTTTTGTGTCCCAGCTTCTCCAGATTTGGCAGACAGGCATTCTGGATCATTGGAGGAGGACCACACAGGACAACAAGAACATCAGAGGATGGAGCAGGGATGTGGTCCTTGATCATGTCATAGGTCACAAATCCTGAACTGTAGCTCCAATCTGAGGGACATGACAACAAAGACAGAACATTCAATCAGAGAAACAGGTTTTCAGTAGCTCAAGTGTCTGTTTCTACTTGTTTATCCTGTTTTATAGCTGTGAACTTTCAGAACTGAATCTAATCCTGTTCCCAACAGTTCACTTTTTGACACAGATGTTCAGTATATTTGCAACCAAGAATTTAAAAATGAATACAAAGTAAAACTGCAATGCCTTTGGCTTCTTCATCAGAGAAGCCTTTCTTTGATTCCACCTTTCAGTTCCTCTATACACGTCTTCTTTCTGTTTGTCCTGGTGTCAATGAAGTCATTAATAATAGTCATCTTTTCCTCCAGGGCAACCAAGTAATGGCCCTGCTATCAAAGAGCAAGTACACCTCTTCAAATAAATAATGCTCAAGGGCTGATGTTTTAGTTTTGTGTGGAACTAATGAAGATGCACAGGATGGGATACATGCTATTCAAGACCTTCCCAACAGAGATTATATAACAACATTATACTCATTCATTTCTGCTGGCTTTCAGGATTAGGCAAACAAAGACATGAGCATCTTACTGAGCTTCTTGCAACACTTTGCTGCAGCTATCTACCTCCTCAGCCTGCAGGCATTTTCCTCCAGCTGAGGAGGTTTTCTTTGGTTCTTCACTCTTATTCATTAAAACCAAAGGTTTGGGCTTTAAGATTCAGCTTTATATAGCCTGGCACTGCACTAATACTCAATATCCTGGATGGTAACATGACAAAACTATCCATGAGAAATGTTTTCACCAGATCCCACAATATGAGAAGTTTCATTGTTTTTTAAATTTGAAATGACTTTAACATGTTTTAAAAAAAAAACCCTTTTGGATGCAAATACAAAGCTAGAAACAAATTTTGAGGATTTTTAATATAATATTTTGTAATCTAGCAAATGAAGTGATCCACTTGGTGTAATTAATCTTACTCTTACACCCCTTATACCCCAAAAATCAATTTCACAATTAATTTTGTCTTGTAACAAGTGATTATATTATGCTGTCCATATGGCAACAGTAGTTCACTTTCTTGATGCTACTGCAGCTACAGTAGCTTGAGCCAATCCTGTAAACAGCTGAACATCAGGCCTTAAAACCAAAGGGATTGACTAAGATGCTCAGAAGATAACTGCCTTTGATCAACTGCTAGTCTAAAATAGTGATAACTGCAGCTTTAAACTTAAGTTGTTCTAACAATATGGAAGCCTCTGTCCCACGTTAATGTGTTCTGGTGCTGGTGCTTTTTAAAATTAGGACCACATGCAGTACAACCTGGTGCTTCTTTTAATGTCTTTTCATTATAAGATCGTTTATGTTGAAAGAACCACACCTGTTCTGTATCGGGGCAACTTATGGAAACTCACCAAGTAACCTGTTGTTAGGTCTATAAGCAAAGAAATTCTGCCCTACCCTGTGGTGGTTTGTCCAGTGTAAACCAGAGCTTCACTTTGTCAGGATGGTTCTTCTTCACCTCCTCCAGCTCCTCCCTCAGGAGGATGTCCTTCTCCGTCTGACAGAGAGCAGATGAAAGAGCTGTTATTACCCTCAAGGAGTTTCCATTTATGTACACTAATACTCTTTAACAATAAGACACGAGGAAAGATTTCCCAAAGCAATATACGGTACTATACAGAGTTCACCTGGTTGGCAAAAATGAGAGAGCACTTTGTGTTGTCAGTGGGGTCGGCTGCGATCCTGTGAATTAACTGCAGCATAGGAGTGATACCTGTGACAGAAACATATAAAGAATAGTCTCACAGGATGGTTTATATCAAGGTAAGGGGGAGACAAGGGAGTCAATAAAATGATAGTGTCAGTAGTTGGACTGTGAACAAAATATCATCAAATGGCCCTGAAAGCCAGCCTCCTGGACCACCCTGAGTGTGACTTAGGTGTTATAAGACAGGAAAACTATAATGGCAAACTTTTAGAACTGTTCCCCAATCTTTACTTATATACCAATCCTTTAATCTAGAACACAATAATCCAGTTACAGAACAAGTGTGATAAAGGATAATCATAGTACACATTCCTTTTCCTATGAATAAAGTACAAGCATTGTCACATATTAGAGTAATTCATAAAGTTTAAATGTAAATGAACCTGTTCCACCAGCAATCATTCCAACACGCTTAAACTTCCGAACCTTGGGCTCTGATTTCTTGTCAGGTCGGATGGAGAACTGACCTGAGTAGAAGAGAGGGAGTCTTAGTATAATTATACTGGACCACAGTGACATCTGCTGGTGACAGAAGATAACAATGGTGGAAGTGGAAATGTACCGAATGTATACATTACAGTATATATTGTGTACAAATGATAGGAATGCCTTTACTATTCTTTAATGCACACACCATACCATTTCCCTTATACACCAGCAGCCCATTGGGTCCTCGAAAATCAACAGTGTCTCCAATAGCCATGTTGTCCAGGTATTGAGACATCTTCCCTCCCTCTGGAAATGTGGGATGGCAGTTCTTATAGTACACCTGGATAAGTTACACAACAGCTTTAGTTACTTATTAGATCTATTAGGGTGGGTTCTACAAAGCACTAAAATGACAAGAAGGTTTGCACTTAATCTCTCGGCCAAACTATGGTGGCTTGTTTGTGCCCTCTCAGTAACGTTGATTACCTATGTTTTTTGACTGTTTAATATTGGTTGATTGTTTGATTATTGCTTTAGTCTGTAGATGTGTTTTTACTGTGCAGCACTTTGGGCCCGTTCTGAGTTGTAAAGTGCTATATAAATGATGCTTTATTATTATTACCTTTACCACAAGGTCGACATATCCCTGATCCTCATCACTGGAGACTGGAGTGTAGGCTCTGATCACCAGAACGCCGTTCACCTTGGCTGTCAGGTACACGTGTTGACCTGGTGCAGAGCACAGAGCGGAGTACAAGCAGCGATCAGCAGTGTTGGGGAAGCTACTCTGAACACATACTGTAGCTTTGCAAGCTGAACTACAGCAAGACAACCCTAGGGACAAATTTAGCTTGCTGAAGTAAAGCTACTGAGGAAAAGAAGCTCAAGCTACTTTGTAAAAACAATTTTGGGCCATAAAAGAAAAGGAAGAAATTGACAAGTGTACATGACACAAAATTATAACAGTATATAATACAAAAAAGTCACAGGCCAACAAAAAAAAGCTAATGAGTTGAGTTTATTACCGAGACTTAAAACTCTCCTAAAAACAGCCCCATCCGGATCTTTCACAAGGACAAAATTGCAAGGGATGTTATGTTTTTCTTGCAAACACATCAGGATTTTGTGTTATCTGATGTCAGCAAAGCTGTAAAAACGGGTCCCAGAGAGAACCAGGAAAAGGCCCAGGAAACACAGGTCACCGAAGCAGCACTGACCTTTGATGACCTGCTGTCAGAAATGACCTTACAGGGGGAGCTGCAGGACACCATCAGACACATTGTCTCTTTACAATTAGACGTCCCACAAGAACAAGAAGTACTACAATGGCCACTATTCAAGGAAGAAGAGTCCAAAGAGACAACAAATAGGCTATGAAAAGATGGAGACGTGTTACTCTCAAAGGAAAGCACACCAGTGACAGGAACAGTCCCAGAGCAGGAAGAAGAGTATATGGATGAGTTAATAATAAACTTGTATTCTCCCATTACACCGGTACTGATGGCAAATAGAACGGCAGACTTGGAGGATGAAGAAGGAATGGAAATGATGGAGAGACAGATGAAGTGATGTGGAATATGTGGTAGTGGACGAGTGGAACACAAAACCGGATTTCGAGGTGTCACAGGGAAACAGCAAGAGGAGCTGGAAGAGAGAGAAGAATCATTAGAGCTAAAGCTGAAATGCATAGAGTAGAAAGTTAAGATATTTAATAAGTAAGGATAATCAAAAAATGATATATACTGGGGACAGATTCAGAAGATTTCCTGATACTCTTATCTTCCCTGTTTGAAGAAAGAAGAGTGGAACAGAAGAGGATCGATGTTGCTTTTTTAAACAGCTTTTTGTGTTTCTCAGAAGAAAGAAGATTTGGACCAAAAGAAGGTTGTTGTTTTTACACATTTTCATATTTTTTTAGGTTTTCCTGAGTTACAGGAACATTGTTTTCAGATTCTTTCCTATTTTTCTCTTTGAGAGTTTTGAGGATTGAACCAGAAGAGAATGAGGTTTTTCTGATGAGTTTAGATTTTTTATTTTTTAAATCCTGGCCTAAAGGAAAAAGAGGAACAATAGATAGTGTCTGGCCCAAGGACACTCTGACATGTGGACTGCAGGCACCAAGATTCAAACCTCCGACCATCCAGTTGGGAGACTGCTCTACCCGCTGAACCACAGTCTCTGTGTAGTTTCAGTTAACTACACAAAAATAGCAAAAACATAACTGAATCATAATGCAAATATGAATGTACAGTAGCACACTACCAGTAAGCTGTTGCAAAGTGTAGCTGAACTGCAAGTTACATTCACATTACATATATACATACTGTATATTACATTACATGCAGTTCACTACCCCCTAACACTGGGGATCAGTGGGAACTAGTGGTGGATCTGTGCAAACAGAAGAATGGGGAAAAGCACAGGAAGCATGAGGACTGTGCTGTGTTTTCTTAAGAAATTCTCTCATCTTCACTATGTTCTTTCGAGTGCTGATGCTATGTTTCACTGAAATTTGTCTTTTTTTTAAAAGACATACAGTATTTTCCCTAAATGTCACTGATCTTTTGTGTTGCAGTTTACTGACTGCAATAGAATCACACACTCAGGTAGGTTAGTGGTTAAGGCACAGCGTGCTCGCCGCTGCGGCCCAGGTTCGAATCAGGGTTACATCAGGAAGAGCATCTGGCGTAAAACACGTGTCAGATGTCAACATGTGAGTTGTCAGTGTGGCGACCCCTAAACGGGAAAAGCCGAAAGTGACATTCTAATGGAATCACACACTCAGAAGAAGTACGGACACAGATAAAATCTCTTCTTGTGTTCTCAATTATTGCTACATTTAATGATGCTATGAATCAGAAGAAGAAGAAAAAGAAGGCGTTTCAGTACCTACTGGTAGTCCAAGGATATGAGCCCTAGATGGAAGGCCAAACCGAAATTTCTTTGTGTCATGACTGATTTCCTGTACACAGACACACAGAGGCACATGCAAGCATGCATGTGCGCACACACACATGGACAAACAAAGACATAGTATGTACAGTATCATGCTTGCAAGTCTGGACTTAGACTTAACTTATGCTAATAGTTAGAAAAGGGTTATTTATACATTTTCTCATCATAAAGAGTGGTTATAGACACTATGTTTGTTTGAAAACACTTCCAATGAAAATATTGACAATGCGTTCTGTCAACTTTTTGGATTAATGATAGAGCTTTTTCTGTAAGAAAGGTTATAATACATTCAAAATGTCCAAATATGGGCTTCAGAACAATTACATGTTACAGCATTCATCAGTAATTTTTCTTTATTTACTTTGTACATCCAAATAAATATAATGATGTGTCTCTTTCAGAGTTCTCCACTGTCAGATTGTGAGACTCATGATAGAGACAAAAGGGATCAACATTACTGTAGCAGCACCAGAGATTTTCTTCTTTTATTTTACATTTCTACCTTGTCAAAACCTGATATCTACTGTACAACACATCTTGACTGCCAACAGTTCAGTCAGACATTCAGGTGTGTTATGCTAATAGTGGCTGAGTAGCCTTAAGCAGACATTGGGAGCAGGCTACAGAGTAAACTCACTTCGTTCACACTATGAGATGTCATTTCTTCATACCTTAACAATACCGACACAAGTGATATAACTTGAGGCAGTTTATGCTGCTCCCTCTGGAGCCACAAAACGCTTTATAAATGTGACTTTGTGTATGAGTTTGTATGCAACCTACCTGTTTGTGTATCAGGGGAAGTGGATATTTGACCATAGGGTCCTGCAGGGTGACAGGTAGCTTCTTCTTTTTCTTCTCTCCTGCAGAGCCTCGCAGGAGGAAGTACAACACCGTCACTACCAGCAGTAAAACAGCAGCCACCACTGGGAACATCTGCAAGACAAACATCACAAACAGTGTAGACACTTACAGTCAAGGTCCTACAATATACAATATTATTTAAGTGTCAACTGATTCTAAACTGTATCACCTCTCCACATTTGCATTATTTCTAAATTCACAAGCAGATTATTTCCTCTTATGAAAAACCAATAACAAATACTTTAGAAAACATATATTGAAAACAAAGGCTCCAAAGTAGAAACTCACTGCAACAAAACTGAAAACACCTGTGATAACTGACACACAAGTCAGACAAGCTGTGATAACTGAAACAAACCTGAGTGCATCTGTGTCTCCAGTTACCATAATTGCATGAATACGGTTATAAAATGATCTTTGAACATAAGAGCTTTCTCAGTTTTGGACCTATGGGCTGTGTCTATCTACTGCACATCTGCACCATGGCTCCAAATATAAAAGAACTGACAGAGGACTGAAAAACTGATTGTGGCACTTCACAAAGATCAGTGATGGAATAAATGTTAGATGAAACAGTTGCAGCAGGAGTCAGGAGGTCTAGAAATTGACACAATATCACGAATCAGAGCTGCACATTCTTTAGTCTTATGAGATCAAGGTAACGTTGTTTGGCTCAGATGGGGTCCAACATGTTTGGGGTGAACCTCGCCAGGATGACCACAGGCCAGAGGTGCGAGTATGCTGATCTGGGGCTGCATGAATGCAAAAGGTACTGGGGAGATGACATTTATAGATGGCACCATGAATCCCTGTGGATTTATCAAAAGACTGGCAGACAAAATCCAGTCTCCAGAAGCTTGGCAGAAACTATGACCAGGCCAAGTGTATTGCCAGACTTGAATCCACCTCAGGGGTTTTTTTAAAGAGAAAGGTAGAGCAGCACAACCCCTCCAGCACAGAGCAGCTGAAACAAATGGTCTCTGAACAATGGTAGAACCTCCCTCCAGACATTTGTACAACAATAGTATCCTCCATGCTGAGGAGGGCTGAGTCTGTCATTAAAAATAAAAGTGCACATTCCAAGTGTTGAAAAAATAAAATAAGTTTAATCTCAGTAACAAAAGCGATACTGGCTTGTGTTGCACTGAGTTCCTGCTGTGGTGCCTGTATTTCATCTGTAGTAATTTGAAACTGATGGTCTTTAATTTTACATAAGAACAAATACACATTTCAAATCTGAAGCAATTCAGTTACTGTAAGGTGAACAACTTTAAATAATTTGAGATTTAAGTGATATTGTATTATTATATTAATATTTATTATATGGAAACACGTTTCCTAACTGTACATATGACAAACACTTTGACCTATTGCACAGGAGTGCACTCACTGCTGTTTTATACACTATAGTTTACAACAAAAACAAATGGTGCGTAAAAACTGTGTATTTAATTTTGTCATTTTAACATAGGGTACGCTATAAGTGACTTACACTACAGCACATTACAGTTAAATAACATAGCAGAGTAGATATATTCCCTGGGTCTGCACAAGACTGTACACACAAAGCTGAATAGGGTGGTGCTATTAAAAAGGAAAATAAAGTGAAAGTTGATTCTCACCAAGCTCTGTTCCATAGTTTTCATATGAAATAAAGTGTGTCAGACCTTCCTACTCAGCCACTGACACAGCCTGAGAGACCAGAGTCCAAGGCAATGAGAGCTTATCTCTCTCTCCCTTTGTCCTTCACACACACACACACACAGTACAGAGCATCCAAAGGGGCGTGACTTCCCGCTGAGGGAGAGGTGGCACAAGGTGCAAAGCACCAATAGGAAGACAGATCTTATCATGACGCTGCATAGTACAGAGGTGGTGAACAGGCAGTGAGAAGCAAAGTTTAAAAATCACACCACAGGGAGAGGGGAGGAGGGTCAGACTGCACAAGTTTATTCATTACAGAGAGAAAAAAAGTTGCTGTATTTTCAGAGATGTTGAAACAGAAAAAAATTCTGTCCTGAAGTAAACCAACAACCTTCAACAGTCTGGAGAAAAGAAGAGGACTGTGAGTTCTTGCTAACTGGCTTACACATGTGTGAGTGACTGGGCCTGTAGAATCACCACAAAATAATCCTAGAAACTTTATCTATAATGATCTAGAACAAAAAGAGTACTAAGTGCTTTACAAAAATCACATGCTGTTTTACGAGGAGCAGTAGTGGAGGAAGTATTTAGATTACTGTATTTAAGTAAAAATAGCAATACTATGGTGTAAAAAAAACTATATGACAAATAAAACCACTGCATTGAAAACTTAAGCAAAACTACCTAAGTATTTTTTTAGCAAAATGCTCTTAAAGTATCAAAAGTCAAAGTAAACAGTACAGTTTTACTATTGTGTATGATCTGATTATGCTTAATTAATGCATTCATGTACATAGAGTACTGTAATATTGTAGCTTACACTCGCATTCATGTACATGGAGTACTGTAATATTGTAGCTTACACTCTTTTGGGTAGTAAGAGTAACAGCACATTATCTTTTTAAAGATAATTATGTATACAGTTTCAGTTTGTAAAATAACTAATGACTTGTGCTGTCAAGTAAATCTGGAGCCAGGCTAACAGTGATGATGATTATTCACAGATGTTTAGCAGGTTTAAACAAAAACACCCTTATAATTTTTGGAGGTGACAGAAATGTTTACAGGCTGTCATAGCGATCCATACACTAGTTGCTTGACACAGTACATCCATCCATCCATCCATCCATCCATCCATTTTCCTCTGCTTATCCGGGACCGGGTCGCGGGGGCAGCAGTCTAAGCAAAGATGTCCAGACTTCCCTCTCTCCAGACACTTCCTCCAGCTCCTCCGGGGGAATGACGAGGCGTTCCCAGGCCAGCTGAGAGACATAGTTCCTCCATCGTGTCCTGGGTCTTCCCCGGGGCCTCCTCCCGGTGGGACATGCCCGGAACACCTTCCTAGGAAGGCGCCCAGGAGGCATCCGAAACAGATGCCCGAGCCACCTCAGCTGGCTCCTCTCGATGTGGAGGAGCAGCGGTTCTACTCTGAGCTCCTCCTGGGTGACCGAGCTCCTCACCCTATCTCTAAGGGTGCGCCCAGATACAGTACATTTCAGTGAAAACCACAAATGTCAACCTCATGCTGGTGCTACAGGAAAAGTCACATGATCACTAAATTCATCTCCTGGGGCTCTGAATGTCTGTACAAACATTTTCTGGCAATCCATCCAAAAATTGTTGTGACATTAACATCTGACTCAGTAGTGTAGCAGACTGAATGATGGACCAACATTGCCCTCCCCAGAGCTGCTAGCAGGGCTCAGAATAGGATGGAAAAAAATAATAGTAGGCTGATTTCTGGTATATTTATTGTCACAATAACCAAAAATGTGGCAACAATAATAACTTGGTTACATAGTCCACACCTCACCAAACTCAAGTCAGTCAGCCCAAGTCAGTGTAACACCGTAGCACATGTTATGCAATTAACTGTGAATAAAAAGTGGGAAAACTAAAAAGAACAAATAAAAGTTTGACACATGCAGAAGCCATGAAAGCCTGACCATACCTGCTGAAAAACAGAAACAACAGACTTGTCTTAAACATCAGAATCACTGTGATTGTAATGATAATCATATTTAGTTTTATCATAATGTAAAGGCTGTAACATGTGTTGGATTGAAAAATCTGTGTTGCATACTGGGATAAAATCCTGCTCAGCCTTTATAGAAAAGGAGCCAAAGTCAGCAAGACCTCAGCTTTCTAAACTACCACATCTTAAACACTTCAGTGATCACTCATCCTCATCTGAGATTAAATCTGCAATACCATCATCATCTAGAGGCCTCCTCCTTGTGGCAGGTCACCACCCAGAGGATTCTCCACTATTGTCCTCGTCATCTGTCTCCATGGCCATATGCATTTCAGGATCGTCTTGTGATGTCTTGTGGTCCACTTCACCTTGGTAAGACACAGCTAAGCTGCTGGAATGCTGCACATCTGGGTCTGCTACATCCAAGTGCACAAAAACACAGAGAATTCTATTTAAAAAATTGTACAAAGAGCCAGCAATTAAGTTAAGACTGGACTTGTACATGTGCATTATCATAAATAATACTTCTAATAACAAACGGCAAGGCATTTTTTACAGTCTAAGCCAAATGGGTCATTAATGGCCTGTTTTCCTCTGGCCATCCTGAGTATTGCACTCACAAACAGCATTCATTTTATAAATGTGTCTTATGTGCCTGCTAAAGTGTTAGAACAAACCCACTTGGCTTTCAGTGTATTACTGTGGTTGTGAAGTACACTCACTGACATAAGCATCCCCTAGTCTCTAACCCTAACCCTAACCATCAGTTGTGTGCCAAATCCCAACCCTAACTTAAACCTAATTCTAACCTGAAGCCTAAAACCAAGTCTGAACCCTCAAATAGATCTTTGAAGGACAGATTAAAATGTCCTCAAAATTATGGGATCCAAAAACATATGTCCACAGAGTATAATTAAAAGATGTAAACATACACACATGTATATTAATCAGTATTTCATCATAGCAATTAAGCTCATTTTGTGATACTAACTGGCTCACTGCAACTCATTTCTTACATTTATTACAAAACAGGAGAGAAAGATATTTTCTTCTGTCAGAACAAAACAACCAACAAGTTCATCAGTACCACACTCCTCTTCTGCAGCTACTTCCAAAGTGTCCCTGAGCAAGGCACTGATCCCCAGCTGCTGTAGTGGAGCTGTAAGTGCTTAGCAGCAGATGGCTGTAGTCACACTACACTCACCTCCCAGGGTGAACATGTAGTCTGTACAAATGAGATGCAAGGTGATGCTTTTTACTCTAACTGTCCTGCAGAAATCCAACAGGTCTATTTTACGCTGTTGCAGAGTTTTTGACTTGCAAAAGTATCAAAAACACAGCTGAAATGATCAACATTAACAGTGGATGAGCTCCATTTAGGTTTGCCTGTTTCAAGGTCTTGGTAATACAGATGCTGGCTCACTGTCTAGGACATTTAATTAAACAGACATCATCAGAGGGAGCGGCACAGCAGTGAGATGGCTAGCACTGTTGCCACACAGCAAGAAAGTTCCGGGTCTGCACCCCGGCCAATCCGATGCCTTTCTACATGGAGTTTGTATGTTCTCCCTGTGCCTACGTGGGTTCTCTCCAGGTACTCAGACTTCCTCCTACAGTCCAAAGACATGTAGCTTAGGTTGATTGGTGACTCTAAACTGCCCACATGAGTGTGTGTGTG